TTTTCCTGCCTGACTTTACCAAAAAAAAAAAAAAACAAAAACAGACTTATGTGTACTTTCAGCCAACTCGGTGCGGCCTACGTGAGTGCCACGACCGGTGCAGTTGTCACCGCCCTGGGCCTCAAGTCACTGGCCACGGTAACATCCCGTCAGAGCAATGATTCAACAGATTGGTGATATTTTTGGGGGGCTGGTTATTAGTGTGTTTGTACCTGTCGTAGCGTCTCCCGCCCATCGTCAGCCGCTTCGTGCCCTTTGCCGCCGTCGCCGCTGCGAACTGCATCAACATTCCCTTCATGAGACAGAGGTGAGATCTCCTTCACCGCAGCCCCGCTCGACTCGTCGCTACTCGGCTTTCTGCGTGTCCCCCAACAGGGAGTTGAAGTACGGCATTCCCGTGACCGACGAGAACGGCAACAGGTTAGGAGAGTCTGTCAACGCGGCCCAGCAGGCCATCATGCAGGTGGTGGTGTCCAGGATCGGCATGGCGGTGCCAGCTATGGGTAAGGGCTGTAGTTGTGAAAATCAAAAGTATGGTGACATTTCTCTCCAAACAGTACGTCTTGGGGGAAGCGTGTATCTGTTATTTGTTGAGGCTGAGATAAGGCATTTATTAGCGTTTGAATGTTTTGTTTTTTTCTCCCCGCCCTTGCAGGTATTCCTCCCATCATCATGAACGCACTGGAGAAGCGAGCCTTCATGAAGGTATAACATTCTTTGGTCATGTCAGGGCCCCGCCGGCACCGGGCTCGTTACGGAGTCCTTCCACATTCCAACCTAAACATGCCGCTTCCCCGCAGCGTTTTCCCATTCTCAACGCTCCAATGCAAGTGGGACTGGTGGGCTTGTGGTAAGTCAACGGCAGGATTTGAGGTAGCTCCAAGGTTTTCGACTTGAGCAATCTCAAAATAACCCCGCCCTCTCTTTGATTGACAGCCTGGTGTTTGCCACCCCTCTTTGCTGTGCCCTGTTCCCACAAAAAAGGTAACGCCCAAAAAAACATGCCCCTTCTCCCCAAAAACACACATCACTAGAAAAACACACCAAAACATGCACGCACATTCACGCATGAAAAACCACACATCACAAAAACACAAATATAGACGCACAAAAACCTCCATGCATAAAAAAAAGAAAAAAATTACATTAAAAAAATTGGCCAACATAAAACACAAAAAATAAAGAAGACTGTTAGCAATGCATTTTGTTCCATGCCCTCTCGGTTGTCTAATGACATCCCGTGTCATGTTTGCAGTTCGATGAAAGTGAGCGGGCTGGAGGCGGAGCTTCAGGACAAAATACGACAAAGCAACCCGGCCACCACTGTGGTCTACTTCAACAAGGGTCTGTAGGCGCTTCATGTGCACGCCACGTACGTACACACACACACACGCAATTTATTTATGCTTTTTTTTTTTTCCTGGTGTTTTTGAACTGCTCCCAATTGAAGCACAAGGAGGAAAGATTTTTGCATGTGTACAACAAACTTGTTACTGAAGTGTGTATTTAGCCATGAACTTGAATGTAACCTCACTGTCCTCTTGTACTACTCCACTTGTACTATTATTGATTTTTCTCGACCCCGGGTTGTTTTTGTTGTCTGCCTCGCTGTTCAAGTGGTGCACCTTTCCGTTAAGTTAGGGGTAGGCAACCCAACACGGCCTGAAGAGAGAGCACTTAATCCGGCGGCCATGCAATTATAAAACCAGAAATGCTCACAATAAATCAATACAGTGGAACACTTAATTCCGGTCGTATGATTGAAAGAGTGAAATTCATTTCGATCTCATTCTGAGTGAAATGATTCCAGATTTTAATCATGATGGGGGGGGAGCAATAATGAACCATGGATAAATTTTATTTTGCAGGACGATAAATTTTATTTTGCAGGACGATATTTCCTCTTTTATTTTAAAGTTGTAAACGTACTTGAAGGGGGAACACGTATTTTTTTTGTGTGTGTGTGTCTGTTGGACGGGTGTGGAACATGTTAATCTAATTATAAAACAGACTATTCTATATTATTGTAAACGTTAAAATGGAAGTATAGTTGAGATTAGTACCGGCCCGTGTACACCAGTCATGACTAGGGGGGAGGGGGGGGGGATATTGTTTTTTTGTGTTTGTGGTGTTTTTGCTGTGTTGGCTTTAACAGGGTTTATATTCTACTGTTTATATAGTTATACACGCTGTACTGTATTTCCTCAAATAATGGCCGCATGTCAAAGTCAAGTGAAAATAGAAGATGCGTCAATTTTGCTCGTGATGGGGGGGAAAAAAAAATCATGAAAGCTATCATTCGAGGGAACATGAACTACTCCGTTGCTGACCAAAACAGCAGTCAAGAAACCTAACCAAAGCTTTCGACAATCAAAACAATTTGGTCACGTAATATTAATGATCTTATGTAAAACACTAATATGTAAAACACGTCTTATTGGTCCGAAACTCTCACGCCCATTTGGCAGTTATTAGATGTTTGTGGAAATACAGTTCTGTCATTGTTGCTGGATGGACTGGAAACAATATGTATTATAATGGGTGTATTTTTTTTTTGGTGTCTAAAATGTGCCTGTGTCCCTAAACGCACGAGTTTACCAGCATCTTTTGCGAACAAGCAACTCGTCTTGTTTCAGGATTCAGGAGTCCTATTTATAGAGCATCAATCCATTTGGTGCATTCTTGTATTTTACAGCGATACAAAAAGTCCCAATTTCCCACCGTGTGATTATTTCTACTGTTGTATTCCTGATTGGTTCCATTCCATAACTTTAAATCTCAACATTGTGAGCATTTGTCGCTCCTGTCAAGACTGCGCGAAAGTCAAGGAAACGGGTTTAGAACGAGTCGATATGCTGCAAAGTAAATTAGCGAAGATTGTATTTGCTTGCCAAGTGTCCTGTTATGAACTTAACACCTGGCAGATTTTAGTCAGCACAGAACTGAAACATACCGTATTGCTGTTACGAATGTATCCAAAGGTGAAAGGTTTTCCCGCGAGCTTTATTTTAAATGGTTTTTGCACCATGTCACTATGCATAAGAAAAAAAAAAAGGATGTCTATTTTAAGGAGTTACATGACATTTCATTGTGTGCGTTTTTTTTTTTTTTTTTAAAGCTTTCTAGTCTCGTCCCAATCAAGCACATTGGAATGACACCAAGTAAGATGTGCACTGAATGGGCCACAAATGGTACGACAATCCATGTTACGCTCCGTGAATGTTTTCAGTCACGTAATACTGTCAGGATCAGGAGGGCGCAGTCCCTATTTTTTGTTTTTCATATTGTGTTGGCATATACACACATTTCTTGATATGTATTTTACTCAGTACTACCATAAAAGATGTGACTGACATCCAATTATGTCTCCATTTCAATTTTTTACTTTGTGATTCACGGCCTTATCGAACCACACGACTTTGTCGTTCACGACGGTCGCGCTTGTCAAGATTACCAGATGCATGCATTCTGGGTCACGCCACAAGTCCGTCAGCGACCGGACCCTGCCCTGGTCGTCGCCTACTTCCGTCAAGACTCGGTTCATCGGCGCAGGTCCGTCGGGGAGGCGGGACAAACAGCTGACTAAATCGTGTCGACAAAAGTCCACGACCTTAATGCTAACGCACAATGCTAAAAGGCATTCATTCCTAACATGATCTTCTGTATTGATGTACTGTAAGTGTCTGTCGTTTTTGAGCTTAAAGTCAAACAGTCGATGCTTTTATTTTTATTTATTTACTGCTTTTCTTCACAAGTACAAGTGCAGACTATTGTCTCCCCCCCGCACTCCAGAAGGCCTCAGAATGATGACAGCGGTGGGCGATGTGTGGGATGGAAATGCACGTGTCGGCTCATCAGACTTGCCCCTCTCATTGCAGAGTTTAGAAAAGACAAGTCGTCATTGTTACACGCGCAGCCACATCAGCGCACACACGTCGGTCATGATGGGAGGCCGGCCGGCCTGCGGTGGTGCTGGGGTGGGGGACAAACTAGTAGCTCGAGTTCAATAAAAAAAAACTAGTAATTTAGTGTTCACATCACCCCGTTTCCATACCCGTCTAGCTTCAAAATGTCTTCAGCAGTAACATTTCAGTAATTTAGTTAGTTGTACATTTCACAGCTTTTTTTTTTTTTTTATCTGGCAATAAGAGGTGACTTCGGTAAACTGGCCAAGATGTCCAAACCGGACATAGTGTCCTCTTTTAATCGCGACTTTCTAGCTTCATTAATTTATATTGAGTGCTCGAAATAAACTTATTTGCGTGGTACAATTTTCTTGGCAGCTTGGAGAACATCCGCCACTTCCACTTTGTTGCCGAACTCCTTCTCACGGTGCTCCAGTAGGACCCCCTGCAGACCACAATGTGGAGTTTATGCCAAGCGCTTCGTCTCGCTTCGTTAGACTAAACTGAATAGTCATACTTGTGAAGACAAAGAGTGTACTAATACAAGGATTTAAACTCGACAAAGAATAGGGAATAAATACTCAAACAGCTTTCCGGTGTGTTTTGTGTACACTACCTGTTCTCCCGCGCCGATGACAAAGACGCCCCCCAAGATGAAGCCCTCGCCCAACATGTTGCCCTGATAGCCGGACCTCCAGGCCCGCACGAAGTTCTGCAACACGCCGAAGCGCAACAGCCCCATAGCGCCCATTTTTGCCCCGTAGAAATGTTTCTGTAAGGTGGTGAAACCTCGTCAATGGGGTCGCATATTGACAGCTTTTCAATTATTCAATCGACACAATTTACTCATGGCATGAATCGTTTCAAGTGGAACCACAAAAATTGTGAGTAGTGCAGGTTTCTTTTCAATTGCAGTTCAATTATCAAGTGTTAAGTTAGCCCGCTGGTCGCGCCCAATGGCAATGTAATACTTTATGTATTGAAAGTTTGTTGTCGCGCGTATGCTGAAAAAGAGGGCTGACCTTTTGGTCGATGTAGATGTCCCCAGCAAAGTGCGGTCTGAAGTCCTGGATCTCCGTGCCGACGTGTTCCTTTACCACGGCCACCAGAGGGACCCCGAGCTCTTCCAGCTGGGTCTTCAGAGAGGACAGCTCGGAAGCCTCCTGCAGGGAATCATTTTGAGTTCATGTCGCGGTGCTCGCGGACCACCGAAAACACAACGTGTGATCTCACCTCTCTGCACAAAAATCATCCGGGCCGCCGCACGGCCATGATGACGGCGCCGTTCTTTTCCCACAGACTCTTTGCTTTGATGACCTTGCCATCTGTAGACACAAGTGCTGTTCATAACAACTTCTGGTTAAAAAAAAAAAAAATTCAAGCACCAAACAGTGGTGAGCAGTCAAGGCCAGCAAACCTCTGCTTGCCGAAATACAATCAGGAGCACTGATCTACATTTCTAACCTAAATTCTTAAAATCGTAAAACCGTATTTTCCGCACTATAAGGCGCACCTAAAAGTATTCAATTTGATCAAAAGCCAACAGTGCTCCTGACAATTCGATGGACCTTCCATATGGATCAATATTCCGATTTTTTTTGGACGTAGTATTTTAAATGTTTTGTAAAGTTTGAAAGTTCTATATAAATAAAGCTGCATTGTATTGTATTCCCTTTAGCGTAGCACCATTTAGTGGATGCATAACACCACTGCAGCCACGATTGGAGCTTCTAATATATGCGCCTTATAATGCTATGTGCCCAATATAGGAAGTTTTAAAATAGGCCATTCATTGAAGGTGCGCCTTACACTCCGAAGCGCCTTATCATGCGGAAAATACGGTAATTATTTCCAAAAATCTATTCTCTAAATTCTCTTGGGAACACAGCTTCAAGGACGTGGGTGTTTGATTATTTTTGCCCAATCTGATTTGAGTCTCTGTGTTGCCATGTCAATCTAATCTGCCCACGACGTTCAAAATGAAGTTAGTGTACCATTTACCAATCTAATCCACTACACATTCGACGATGAGTGTGAGAATGACAGTTCAATCGAGATTACAACTTTCTTCTCTTATAAAACCGCCACACGACTGAACGGCACCAAGTTTGGTTGAGAAGTCACTCGCACCATCAGCGGTGGAGAGCAGGTCAGCATCGGCGAGATATTCCAGCGACGCCTTGCCTACTTTGGGGAGAGTCAGACTGGAGTTGACCAATAAAATGCCAGCCAGGGCAGCTCCCACAGCTCCCACACCCAGAGACCACGCGCCCATCCCCAATTTATCGACGTCAGATGCCAAATCTGCAACACAAACAGAAAACAACACACATGATGGCGATTAGCACGGCATTTTTTTTTTTTTTTTAATAGACAATAAATCCTTCACACAGTGACATCACATCAGAATCTGGGACATTTTATCAACCCGACCTTTACTAGCTACAGAGTTAGAGAAACTTAAAAAAAAAAAAGAAAAAAAAAAAGAGTCACAAGTGAACTTTTGTTTATTGAGGACAAATATTCAAATACAAATAAAAGTCAAACAACGACATAAAAACTAAATCCAAAAAAATAAAAAAATCATAGACTGTTATATTCCTGTTTAGCGGAGTGCAGCGTGGGTGGAGGCTGACAAATCGTTAACGGCCACACCAGTTCCGTAACTTTTGGGAAGTGACAGAGACAAATCAAGACTAATTAATGGTGTGAATTCTTGCCTGGAGCGCATTTGCCTGGCTCGGGACCGCCTTTGGCTCTACCTCTGTGAAAGTGAGCGACCGGGCTTCTTTCAAAGCGAGCGACGCACGAAGCGAACGCCACGCGGCGGTAGAAGGCAGGGGAAAGAATTCGCTTCAAAGCTTCCGGCATCGCCGCTGTGAGCGCTTCACTGCATGCGCTGGAAGAAAAATGTCAACAGGCTTTGTGCAAAACATGACGCCCTCGGTGACACCGCATGCCAAAGTCTTCCTAATAGCGAGCTAATCAGGCAAAATACTGTTAAGGTACATCATTTTATATTAGGAAAATCTCAGCACACCAAATGAATTTTCTTTTAAAAAGTGCATAGTGAATTCATGATCTTGTCACAATTTAGCCAGAAAAGTACTTATTGAACTCTGGGCCTGTTAAACATAAATTTATTGTGTTGTATAAAACATGTTGGCCTAGACAAATGAAGATACATTTGATAGAAACGTATTTCCTCTTATAAGACGCTGCTTGGGAATGGCTGGTGTAGTCGACAGCCATTTTGTAAGACTTTTTCTTTTAAATATAACTTCCATTCATCCATTTTCTACGGTGCTTGTTCAACAACCCTGTGCCGAGCTGACTTTGGTTGACAGGGAACGCACACTGCTGGTCGGTTTCCAGCCAATCGTAGGGCACATAGAGACAAAGAGCCATCCACATTTACACCTGCAAGTTGTTAGTATGCGGAATGAAGCCAGTCTATCTGGAATATGAAAAGAGTGATTGTCAAACAGATAAGAAGAACCCAAAACTCCTGCTCTGTACCGCCAGCCTGTCCTACTTGCCATGGTTAATTACTACTCACTGCTTTCTCTTCCTCTTGAATTCACAATGACGCTAAAATGACAGCCTGAGAGAGGCTAAGGAAGCATCAAGATAAATATTTAAATATACTAACTTGTCTCCATTGTCTGCTGTGGATCAGATCAGTCCAAGGCAAATCCCAAAACGTATTTGTGGGGCGTCAAAATGTCGCCGATTTGGAAAGGACAAAGAGTACTTCGACAAGTGATAAGGAATGTGTGCCCAATGGAAGACAAAAATAACACCCACGAGTCCAACAAGGAAGAGTTTAGGTTGGGCCAGTGTGCAACGTAATGTGCATGCAATCATGTTACATATTCATCTATTGCATAATACTCATCTTTCGTGGCCAAATATGTAAAACACACAAGGAATTTGTCTTGGGTAATATAGGCTACACTAGTATTACAATAACAAGCAACTATGATAAACAGACATGACGAGTTATAGAAAAACTTTCCGTAATGGAAGGGCAACATTGTGTAGTAGTACCACCCAATGACGACTGTGCGACAATATGCAGAGTCATCGTTGCACCATTTTTAGGTGATCGAGTAGCAGTAATTGTAGTGCAGAAAGTCCTTGAGCGTTTTAAGTGTCTGGAGCTGTGGAGTATTGATCAACGACAATTGTTCAAGTATGTAGACCTGGAGCTATATATTAAGACTGGGCAATTTGGCTTTTAAAAGAAATCCACCAGTAGAAAGAACCTCAGTAAAACATTTTCAGCTTGGAAGCACAAGTGGCCACTGACCTTATTAGCAGGTTGGAAGAGAATTCCACCGAAACTGCAAGAGTCACAAAAAGGAATTAAGGAGGCTGTCCTTGAACATTTTGAAAAAGTGTGAATGTTGTCATTGAACTCCTTGTTAGCGAAAAGCAAGTTGTGCTGCAAAAAAAAAAAAAAACTGCAACTGTAGTTGTAGTACATTTTAGGTTCATGAAATGACACTTGGAAGGCCTTATAGTGTATGTTGAAAACTGTTGAGTCTTATAAATAGTCCATGTATATTTTCGTATGATTTATATCAGTTTTAGAGTGTACATTTTTGCAATATGGTGTCCAAAACGGCACTACGTCTTAGGAGGCCACATTTTTTTCCCTTAATTCATGAAGGTACAGGTCATTTGCTGCAGTAAAAAAAAAAAAAAAAAAAAACTATCAATAGCGAGCTGACGTTTTAACACGTCACCTATTGGCAACGAATGGATTTAAAAAAAAAAAAAAAAAAACAACTATCAATAGCTAGCTGACGTTTTAACACGTCACCTATTGGCAAGGAATGGATTTCTGACGTCTTCGTGGGCCAAAGCGTACACGGAAAACAAGCTTAAACCGGTAGCGGAAGAGTTAAAGCACTTCGAATGAAACCTTCAAACTTGCCGCTGCAAGCAGCTAGCTCACGTCGGCGTTAGCATTTCAGTCGTTAAATAAGACATCTACATGGGTTATTTCTGCTTTTCCCCTCATATCTATCAACATTAAACACTTAATATGCGTACTGAATGCCGACCAGTGAAAACAGCAGCGGCGGCATAAACATTGGCGTTGACTTACCTTGACGTAAGGCGACAAGATTATTGACGCAGTTCCGCGCAAGCGCAGTAATGCTCCCATGTCTCCCAGGAATAAGGGAAACTAATCGAGCACAGATGAATCGCTCGCTGAGTGGACGAACGCACGGAATCACAAAATTGAGTTAGACTTGCTAACCATCACAGTATAAGTGGCCTACAGGCCATACTTTATTTACCCCCGAGATAAAACAATTCATTTTGTATAAGTCACCGACCCATTTATTGTTGAATCACGTGTATTTAAACACAATACGGGCTAAAACTTTTAATAGTTTGCTCTTCCTATAGTGTCCGGCGGGCTGCGCGGTTGTTTGTGTACAAACATCAGAGCTGCTCCCTCAGAAGAGTTTAGAGTCAGATCATCATTAAAGCACACAAAAAAGCCGCGACAGCAAACCAGAAACAATAAGGCAGCAAACTGTCAAAGTGGCCCATTTTGACACATTTCATCATGACATCATCAGACATTAATACAATAAACCCCGACTAGGTCAGGTCTATCTTTTCATCTCATCTCGCATTTTGCGGGCAGTTCTGAGGACAGCCAGCATGTTGACTTTATCCCCAAACTCCTTCTCGCGGTGCTCCAGCAGAATTCCCTGAAAAAAAAAAAAAAGAAAAAAGAAAATGAAGGAGCTACATTGATAACTTCTTCCGCATATCACAAAATAAGGCTCCACGGCTGTGTGCTGTGAACTACTTAATTGAGAATATATCATCTTCTGGGAGTTAGTGTTAATGTAGAAAGTATTAAAGATAAAGGACTGACAAAGGTTCCCCAGAACTTTTCAATTGGTGCCCGGATTATTGTGTGCCAGACGAGTTGACAGGTAAAAGTAGGAAAAACTCAGTATTTCCCACCCAGCGTGACTTTCTGCCAGTCATGCAGAACGAAGACAGATGGAAAAATGAAAACAGGTAGAGATCTAAATTACTAATTTGTGACATTCACACAAAATACCCCCCCCCCAAAAATAACAGCTTTTAAAAGTGTCATTGTGTCTACCTGATCTCCAGGCCCAATGACAAAGACTCCCCCGAGCACCAGTCCTTCCCCTCTTAGGTTTCCCCTGAAGCCCCTGCGGTACGCCCGCCACAGGTTCCTCCACACTCCAATACGCAGGAACACGGAGAGGAACATCCACCGCTCTTGAGGCCCGTAGAAATTTCTCTGTGAGGAAACGGAAAAGCGGCTTAGCGGCTTACACTGCGCAACAGTGAATTCCTGCGCCACATAATTGGGAGACCTTCTGATCCACATAGACTTTCCCGGTGAAGTACTTCTTGAAGCAGTCCAGCTCCTTCCCCAGGTTCTCTTTGACAACAGCAAAGAGAGGCACCTCCAGGTCCTGCAGTTGAGACTTGAGAGAGGACAGCTCTGCGGCCTCCTGCGTCATCATGACAGTGTCATTTGAAATGCTGACAATGGCGCAGTTCCACAAACAGTTCCACAGTGACTGACCTCTCTGCACAGCAATCATCCAGGCCGGCGGACCACCATGACCACCGCTCCGCTCTTCTCCCACAGAGTTCTGGCCTGATGTCTCTCATGGACTGAAAGACCCAAGACCACTTTTAAAAATCCTACACTCTGACAAAGTACAATACATTTTAGCCCAGTGTGCAGTCGCGTAGAACTGCACTTACGTATCACAATCACTATCAATTTGTATTTATATGTTCTCTCCCACTAAAATGAACCCAATCGAATCATTACATTGTAAAATTGTTACATCATAGAATCGTATCAAAATGTCTATCTTTCTTGTAGTTGCACACGGCATCCAAAAAAAGTAGTTTTATATCTACATTTCCAGACTTACCACCCCCGGTGGTCTTCAGCTCCGTGTCCCCCAGCACCTGCAGGTCGGCCCATGTCGCTGAGGTCTGGAACCAGTCCGTGACGGAGCTGATGAGCTCAGCCACAAACAAGCTGATCGCTTTCAGGATCGTGTTCACCGTCACCATGGCCACCTACATGACACATTTCATTTCATCAAGTGTCTCCCAACAAAACGTCCCATATTGAGACATTACTCACCGGCCTGTGGTTGCCCACGAATGAGCAGGGATCCGTCGTTTAAGCTCTGAAACAAGCCCAATCTGTGCAAAAGCCTTTCTTACGTGAGCACGACATAACAGGAATTCTTTAGAAGTGGAACAAGGCCGCTGTTGAGCTGAGCCCTAAGTACCAGGCGCTGTTGCTGTATAGTCACAAACAGTGGTGGGGTGTCAGGGCAAGCATGGGAGGCCTTCACTGCTGGCTTCAACACTCTCAGAAGCACTGGCCTACAACCCGACTTCTAATTTTTGTTTCATGAAGTTTGTGGCTGATGTAAATTAAATTACATTCGCAATGGGGCTGTTTGAAATTTGTTCTCCAGAAGCTCGCTGATCTTCGATGACGTTTTGACGATTTCTAAAATTGAGACGTAATAGTGGAGGCATCAAGAGGTGGATTATGTTGTGTAAATTCCCACTGAAGGCCCATTTGCCAATGCACCACCCGCCCCCTGGCAACCGATGAGGCCGCAGCAGTTTGTGGATGATTACTTGTTGTAATTTATTTACAACATTTCACACCTACTGTATAGATACTATTTTTACTTCGTTATATCATAAATGTTTTGAAAACGAGCATTTAAAAAAAATTACATTTACTTACAGGTCAGTGTCAGTTTTGCAGTGTCTGCAAAGGCCCTGAGATTGTCCGAAGCAGTGTGAGACTCGGTTTTGTTTTACTGTTTTATGCTTTTTTTTTTTTTTTTTACTGTTTTTATGTTATTTGTTGATTTTTTTTTATCTGTTTTTGTTGTTGTCTAAACAATTTTCGCTTCATGTAGTGCACTTTGTACGCAGCTGGCGGTTGTTTTGAAGTGCTCTAGTAAAGTTCAGATCAGTTGAGCGGATTTGGATCGATGCTGACACCCGCAGGAAGTTAGCAGTACTGCACATACGCTTCCAATACAGTATTGAAATGACAGCGCCAACTTCAGTCGTCGAAGAAAAGTTGATTCTAAGTCAGTTGTCACATAACTACTGTATGGCTAACTGGCTCGTTTAATTCTTAACAAGCTTCTAGGTAGGCTGCATCGTATAGTTTCATCATCAAAGTTGGAATTGTGTAAAGCCATCAGATAGAGCGGCATTTTTCAGGGCTGCGATGCTGTAAATGGATTATGTCCACTGTTGAAAAACATCCTGTCACGATTTTCTAACTTTCTTTTTTTTAACAGTTTGCAGTGTAGATAACCCCTTTGCAGGTTGCTGAACCGCAGGGGCCACTGTAGTGTGAGGTAGTAAAGTGGCTTCAGTTTTCTCTTTTCTAGACATTTTAACACCCGATAGAATAGACCAAGTCACCTTGTAGTGACATGGGGATAATTATAATTACATCGCCGGTTTTCCATTATTTTTAAATGTTTTCAATTTGAAACTACTATTTAAAAAATATGTTTTCGTTTTTTTTTTAAGTATTTGTACTGCGGTGAATTGAAGCGCATACTAGCACACCGCATTGAATAATATCCGGGAAATGCTTGAGGAGCTTCCCATAGTGATAGTTTTCAGTAGCAGCCTCACCAGAGGAATGGACTTTACGTCCAAGTTAGATGCTAGCTAGCCGGGATATAGGATGACAACTTACTCGCTGCTACGTTCCTCATGCTTCGTGCATGTGACACGAAAGTTATAAACATTTTACGCAATGTTATGTAACTCAATATTAAATGCTCCATGTGTGTTCTG